TCAGGAGGCTGAGATCTGAGGATCACGGTTCAAAGCTAGCCCGGGCAGGAAAGTCCATGAGACTCTTATCTCCAATGAACCACCGGAAAACTGATAGTGTCACTGTGGCTCAAGTGGTAGAGTGCTCACCTTGAGCTGAATTGCTGAGGGACAGCGCCCAGGCCCAGAGTTCAAGCCTCATGACTGACAAAAAAAAATGTTTTCTATGACAGGTAGAGGAGTCTTTAAGAGTGCCTAAGAATGTCACTCAATAGGAAAAAGAATATCACTCAAATCAAATAATACATGAGGAGTACATGACAAACACAGAAACCAACCCACTTCTCATATGAAGCAGAATTTCCTCTATTCCGTCCCTGACAGGAGACCATTCATTCACTCGTTATATAAGCAATTAGCAACAACGATGGCATGCTCCAAAAGACATCCTATTGTCCATTTAGCTATTGTCTATCTATTGCAATTATAAACCTCATGTAGAAACTTCATTCCAGTCCAGCATAAGATAGCCCAGTAACTGAGAGAAGGCATGTAGCTAAGCCTGAAGCTTTAACTGGATACATTGAGGATCACAGAAGTGGCCATTGTATAACATGGATTCCCACATGTTTACACTGTATGCCACTCAATCGAACCCCTTCTATCCCTCTCCCTTTTTTATAGATTCTTCCTCAGAAAGTGATCAAACACTAAAGGGGTAGTAAGGAAAAGGAAATTTTTCTAGAGACATTCACTTTTATGGTACTTTCTCTTAAAAAATCTACATAGGAGCACATTTTTCTCAGCCTTAGATCTCAGCTAAGGGTGAGATTACAACCCCTGAAGAATACTCAGCTCTGCTGTGGCCCAGGAGAAGAGAAAGTCATCTTCCAAACACAATGGTGGGGAAGAGCTCATGGTGCCAGGTTGCTCTAGCATGTACACTGCTTAAGAAATATATTTGGTCAATTGGTAATTAAGTAGATAGCTTCATGAAGCACTCCTCATGTACCACAGTCTCAGTCTCTCCTGCTTCTGCCCTATGGCAGGGTCTCAGTCTTCAATTGGACCGCTAGCATATCTTCCTTACCTGTCATTTTCCCACTTAAACCATGACATATTTATGCTTCCATTTCATTGTATATACTCTACCTAGAACTCAGTGAATTTTTTGCATGAGTGAATTTGAATCTTCTTTTTACAATTTTTTGGTCCACTCTCCCTGGATTTTCAGCTTAATGTATGGTAAATCTTCCTACTATGTCCATTGAGACCTTGATCCTCCTCCTTTAATTTTTCTGTGTAAGTTGTTTCTCCAGCAGAAAGCTCAGCAATTTTTATAACATCTTCCAATTCAATAATCTTATTTTTTTTAGTTGGGCTTATCTTTCTGTTAAGTCCAACTTCAAAATGCTCAAGTTTTATTCCTAGTGGGTTACAGACCTCTTCTCAATTCTTTTTCACATCGTTTTGATGATTTTCTGTTTCCTGTCTTTTCAAGATTATCTTTTATTCTTTGGTTGTAGTAAACTATAATTATTGCAGTATATGCCACATAATTATGATATCTAAAGTCGCTGGGGGTTTGTTTTTGCTCTCTATTCTTTTCTACTGTGAAAGTATATCTTCTTTTTTAATGTAGCATTATCTTTGACTGTGAAGCAACATATTGAAAACTTATTTGTACACATGACTCTGAGCCTAAGATAACTCCTTGCTGAAGAATCTTTTCATTTGCTGGCATTTGTTCAAATGTTTAGGAACACAAGACTGTATCCAAGGCCACATTAATCCAAGACCAAAGCTTCAGAGTCCATAGCCCACCCAGGTGATGAGGATGCAGACAGCAAGGCCCAGGCTGTGGCTCAGAGGGGTCACAATTATCCTGACACCACAGCTGCTCAAGGTCTCAGCTATAGTAGCAGGAAAGCTGACCAAATTCCCTATTGGCTTAAGCTTCAAGCTTTGACTTCTGTCCCCACTACCCACGATACCCCAAAGCACAATACAATTTCACAGATCCATTAACTTCCCTCAGGACAAAGGAAGGCAGCATGTAGTGCTGCCTTCACCCTCTGCTGATGGTTTCTTTCTACATTTCATACCATTTGTTTGTTTGTCTTCACTGGGAAAATGCATCCCAGTTATCTAGCTTGCCAGTACCAGAACCAAAAGATTTTTCCAAGATAACCATCAGCTTGTGTCAGTCTTTGTACAAATCCTTTTTCAAAAGCTTACTGCTAGCCAGGCACCGGTGGCTCACACCTGTTATCCTAGCCACTCAGGAGGCTGAGGTCTGAGGATCGCAGTTCAAAGCCAGCCTGGGCAGGAAAGGCCATGATACTCTTATCTCAAGTAACTACCATAAAACCAGAAGTGGCACTGTGGTTCAAGTGGTAGAGTGTTTGCCTTGAGTTGAAGAGCTCAGGGATAGCGCCCAAGCCCAGAGTTCAAGCCCCATGCCCGACCAAAAAAAAAAAAAAGCTTATTGCAACATCTAAAATAAAAAGTAAATTTTACATTAACTTTTTCAATAATATTTGTAGCTGAAGGGGCACCTAGTAACAAAACTTCAGGCTTGCCTTCCCCTGACAATGGCCTGGGGAAGGAAACATTCCACATGCAAACAAATCTACTCCCACCTGCTGGTAGTTGCCTGAATTTCCTGTGAAAGCTCACCCGGAAAACAGCCTTCTGGAAGGAGGCAAAGCTACAAAGAGGACTTCCAGTTTTTTCCTCTACTGGTGTGAGACCTTAGGTCATTCCCTTTTTCTACTGTTGGCCTCAGTTTCCTCATATCACAATGCAAGTGGCTGAACTTGGAGTAACCTTCCCCGATTTTTGGCAAGCAAAAATTGTGTGTACCAGCACATCAAGATGATAGAGATGACAGAGAGCAAACGAATAGGAGGGTAGATTGAATTATTCTTGTATGTGATAGTCGATGACATACACTCGCACTACCCCTTCTTTCTTCTGTGACCACGTGGAGATAACACCACTTGTTGCAATGATAGAAGGGGAAAGGAAAGGAAGGGGTGAGAGCGCTTTGCCCTTTACAAAAAATATTTTTCTTCTGTTCCATTTTAAAGTGGCTTTGGAAGGTGACAGTAAAAGTGCAGCGCAGTGGCTCCAGCTTGTAATTGTAGCTAGTTGGAAGGCAAAGAGCAACAGGTCATGGTTCAAGGCCAGCTGGGGTATAAAGTTCTGAGACTGTCTCAAGGAATTATCCCGGCTCTGGGGGAAGCACTATGGCTGGGCACAGTGCCACCTTGCTGTTATCCCAGAGACATAGAAATATCCCCACATAATGTGAAAGCGTACCTTCAAACTCATCAAGGAGAGAAGGCACTGCAGCGGGGCTCAAGTGATAGAGCACCTGAGTAGCAAGTGCAAAATGCAAGTAATTAAATTTCAAGAGGAAAGACTGAACCCCTCAAATTTGAAAACAGCCATCAGGAAAGGGAGGATTTCCTGAGTCTCAGCAATTCCAATTCACCAGGTACTGAGGGAAAATGGAAGAGGGGTGTGTTTTTGCATTGGTGTCCCCAAGTAACTAAGACTGAACTTGCCACCTATTTTGCAGTGGGTATGGGTACATACCTTGCTCTCAGTTGAAGTTTCTCCAGTCAGGACCGGCACTCTACCTTCGGAGCCAAGCATCCACTACCGGCTCTTTGCTGGTTAATTAGAGGTAAGTCACGTAGATCTGCTTCTGCTGGGTTTCAACTGTGAGCTTCAGATCTGAGCCTCCTGGGTAGCTAGGATTCAAGGAGTAAGCCACCTGGGGTGGCTTGAAATCGATTTTGTCTACAACCTTTTTGAGTGATATGATTCGAAAGGTGTAGGGGCTGGTGAACAAGGTTTGTCATGGAATCACCCTGGAGATCTAGGGGACTGAGTGAGGGTTCTGTGGATGCGAAATACCCTTCCGTTGGCTCGAAGCAAATTTCCAGGTAGTGGAAAAACTAAGCGCCCTCTTGTTAGTCTGTAGTCTTTTCCATGTGGAACCTCCCTCCAACTCTGAAATGCTCTGACACAGAATCACGTTGCAAGAAGACTCCAGGAGGCAAACCCTTCCCGTCCCCTAAATTATTTGCTGAGCACCTAAAGTGGGGCAAAAAGTACTCTGGGAAATTTAGTTGTTCAGACAACTCCCAGGAAGCCAGCAGGCCAATTTCTATGCTAATATGGCCAGAGCGCTGTCACTTGGGTGACCTCCCTTGGATCCTCCTTAGTTCGGGTCTAGGCATCCGCGGTTCCTAATGGTTCCTTAGCCTGGAAAGCATGAGCAGAAAGGCTACCAACTGTTCTTCAAGTGTGCCCAAGTCTCTAAGGACGTAGATCCAACCATGACAGTCAGATTGCCTTCACTACAAAATACAAACTCTTGCACACAGCATCTCTTGGGGGAAGCACACACCCACCCCCTTTTTTTGCGTTTTGCAGAAGGAAGATATGCAGGACCGGGTGTCCCTGGCCGCCAGCCCTCGCCCAGCCTTCAGCAGCCAGCCCTGCTGTCCCTCCCAGGCCCAGGCCCCACCCCTGTCTCCGGAGCTGGTCTGGGGATGACTGCAGAGGCCTGAAGGGGCGGGGGGGGGGCGGGCGGCGCGCAGCCTGAGGGCGGGCGGAGGCAGGAGCGCGCGCCTTTTTGTGCGCTCTTGGCACCTGCCCGATTGGTTCGGGCGCGTGCTGCCGTCGGAGTGGGCGGAGCCAGCCGCGCGCCCCGCTTGCTGCCCAGTCGCAGCCAGGAACTGCTGCAGACGGAGCGCACCTCGCAGCTGGCAGGCGCCTTCCAGGGAGCCCTGTGTCCGGCCGAGCGGCTTCTCCCCCCCAACCTCCCACGGCTAAGGGCTCCGGACTCCGGGCTCCCGGAACCCTCCAGCCCTAGGCTCAGAGGTGACCATTAGCTAAAAGGCTAGCGATCCTGTCCCCCTTCGCCCAGTACTGACCCAACCCCGACCCTGACCACAACCCGTCCCTTTTTACAGCTCTCCGCAGCAGTCTCTCTGTGGCCCCCAGAGAGCCGCAGCCATGGGCATCCGAGCCATGCTGCGAGCCGCTGCGCTCCTGCTGCTCATCCGGACTTGGCTCGCTGAGGGCAACGACCCCCAGCCCACCCCGCAATTCCAGATGGAGTTCTCCTCCGCCCTGCCCAAAATCGTCGTGGATCTTTTCAGGTGGTAAGTGGGTACCACCAGGCTGGGCTTGGTGGGCATAGGGGCTAGCAGACGGCTACGGGCCTCTTAGACGAAATGGGCTACGGTCTGGAGGGGGAAGGGAGGAGGACTCGGACTGCCTGCCCCCAAGGGAATGGCATGGGAGTGGGGACAGTTAGTTAACACTAGTTAGTTAAGCACAGTCGTATGCTTCAGCCCACCTGTTACTGCGGCGCATGACTGCCCCCCCCCCCCGACGCTGCCACCCACGCGTGTGCCTAAACCGCAGTCCGGACGGGAGGATGGCCCCCTTCTCAGAGTCTACCCGACCACTGTCTAGGGCTGAGGTTGGAGGCAGCTTTCTCCAGTCACGTTCTTTCGCACCTGTGGAATTAGAATGGTGTTTGGGGGTGCAATAAGGGGGATAGACAAGTCACAGAACAGAAGAGACACCTGTAGAGTGCGATTTTGTCCATTCCTTGAGGCAAATGAGTGTGTCCACATATGTGTATGGGGTGTGTAGGGGTGTGTGTGTGGGGGTGGAGAGGTGAGGGACTGTTTGCCACAAATGGAAATAAACTGAGCTTAGTGGGCTTTCTATGCTTATTACTGTGAAAACATTTGAAGACACGTCAGGTTTTGCTTGTGATTGATTTGAAGTTTATTTGAGTCTGCAAGTATCTCAGAAGGTGTTAAGTGGTCTTTTTTACACGTACATCACACAGAAATGTATATTTATGGTGGCCACAGATCGGAGGGCTGACACCTGAGAAATGTGTGGATCGAAACATGCGGGAATGCATTGCTTTAACCTGGGAAAAATTCATGTGCACACTGTAGAATGTAGCAAAATGAAATTTAATTATTGAGGAAGATGAGCAATAATTTTAAATGGCAAGCCAGAAATGAATACGTATTTAGATTAAAAGGGCCATGGGGGGTAGTTGGGCACAGTGCCAGCAGATGGCCCTGCAATGCCCTTAACCCAACATATCACATTAAACCAATGAATACGCACAAATGCACATGCGCATGCACGCACGCACACACACACACGCACACACACACACAGAGGAGGGAAGACATATTTGATTAGGCAGGGCATCAAAGATCTGAAGAGTCGCACTGATGCCCAAGGCCTGTTATTCACAAGCCCTTTGGGGCTGAGGCTTTTTTTATGGGGGGGGGACAAAAGCCCATCTGGAGGTATACTGACTGGGTGAGCAAATATGAGAATCTTGAATAGCCATCTTGCTGCAGAGTTGAGCTGGATTCACTTATATATGTTCAGTACAAGAAACCTCCAGGCCATAAGCACATGCTTAGTGAGAGAGATGCCTGGTCCCAGAATGGATCTTTTCGAGGACAGCTCCAAGCCCCAATAATCTGAAATGGTTTGATCCAATGAGAGCCATAAATCTCTGCTACATGAAGAAGGTTCACTCTCTTGCTCTCTCTTTTCTCTCTGCGTCATATGCCATATGCCAAATCTGTGGGAAAGAAAAAACAAAGGTGTACAAAAGCAAGGTTGACATAAACATGGCAAAAAAAAAATTCCCAGAGCAAGCAGAGGGAATCTGGCTTTGAGCTGGAGAATATTCACTCCACTCAGGATGGCGGTGAGTGGGAGATGACTTTCCTTGGGTAATGAGGTACCACTAGAAGACACCCCCCTCCCCAATCTGCAAAGCAGGATTCAAGCTGACCTCAAGGTAGAGGCTCCTTAAAGGGTTGATATGATACAGCTTTCTGAGGGTCCCCCCTTCCCACTGTTTGTCCTCTCCTCTTCTCCTATGGCATCCCCTCCTCCCCCACTTTCTAGTCCTTGTACCCCAACCTCTCATGAAAGCTAGGAGGGGGGAGGGGGAAAAAGAGGCTGCGTCACTGCTGTGCTGCTGCTGGCTGACTCACTGCCTGGAGCGGGGAGGGGGAGAGCAGATACACATATGACTGCGTATGTGTCTGCGGATGTACAGGAGCAAGGAAGGCTCTGGAAACTCACCCACTGGCAAGATGGCCACAAGTCAAGCAACATTTTACTCATGACTTCTCTATTGCAGCAACAACTGTGCAAATGGAGGTGTGGTTCAAAAGATCTTGGACAGGGTGCTGTCCAAATACGATGTCCGCCTGAGACCAAATTTTGGAGGTAAGTCATGTGCACACTAGAGGCTGTTGTGGATGGCAGAATAGAGCTAAGACCCAGCCAGCGAGTCAACCCTATAAGTTGACCAGTGACACTTACCCAGAGCCTACACCTCTGCCTCCCCAAGTCCTGTCCTTCTGAGCCTGCAGAGCCCTGCAAGGGAGCACTCCCGGGCCCCTAACTTCAGCTCTTTAACCCTCTGAAATGGCCCTCATTTCCCTGTCTTCATGTGCAAGGGGCCTTATGCCCACTCCTCACTTCCTAGCTCTCTTGCAATGCTGTCTGTAGAAGCACACACATTCTGTGTTTGAGTACATGCTTTGCACCCTGGGCATTCTCCCTATTCTGGTAGCTCAAAACTGAGGCTTTGGTCTTCTCGGTTTCCTTTTCCTAAGCCACCTAAGCCTGAGGTACTTCCACTGCCTTTCAGATCCCGCCAAGTTCAGCCCAATACACACACTGCATTCAGTGTGATCAGGGTTGTACAGCTTTATCTGAGTTGCCAAATGAAGTCCAAACTAAACACCTCGGCCCCACACTCAGATCTCCAGCACAGAGATGAGATGACTCCCCTCATAACTGCACCCAGCACCTTTTCTGTAGTGTGTGGATTACATATGGAGGGAGGTCAGGGTGTGTGGCAAGCAGAGTGGCACAGCACAGCCAGCATGCTCTTCCATGGCATGGGCCTTTGGGCCACTTGTACCAAGCACCACAGAAAAACAAGGGAGCAGCTACCTCATTTTCTCCTTGTCTCATTCTTACACTTCTCCAAAAAGGCTGACTAACAACCATTTAAGTGCAACAAGCACATTCTCCCCACTGTTTCAAAGCCAAGCTGCCACCTTTACAGGAATGCAGCACCAAGGGAAGGAATAGGGGAAGAATGAATCTTGGTGCACAATACCTCTGAGACACTTCACTGCTATCATTCAGGGGAGGGGGAAGACATACATTAAGCAGGAAAACCTGGGCATTGGCCATCTTTTATGGGCCCATCTCATAAAAGATAGGCACCTGGATTAATGTGGCCAAACTGTACATGAAGGCAGCAGGACAAGGACAACTCAGGCATACTAGCAATTAGACAGAAGAGGGCGCTAGAGGCTCTACAGCCAGGACTGTTGTATAGTAGATGTGGCGAGACCAGTTGATGGGGCAAGCAGTCAGGACATCCTCTAAAGGTACAGAGGGAAGAGAATTGTAAGGAAGTAATCCGGGGGGGGGGAGGAGAGTGCTCCCAGCAACCCTTGTCATTACAAAACAATTTCTTGATTTTCTTGAATAGCTCTGAATGTGGAGTCTGGACTGCGCCTTAAACACAGAGGCCCATTGACACTTCTTCCCAATAACAGTTTTCTCTGAAATTCCCCACTCCCCCTGCATCCACCATGGAATCCTTTCAGGACTTAGTCTTCTTACATACAAGCAACGTGCATGTGCATACACAAGGGGCCTGACACAAGCACTTGATACTACCATGTGAAGGAATGCATGGGACATATCCATCATGAGATACCTTACTTACACAAGCTCTCATCTCACTTCCCATCCAATGTAGAAAAATTAGAGAAATATCCTTCCTCTAGGTCACCGTGCCCCCCTTGCCCCTTCGGTTGTGAGACCTTGGGCAGGTGTTTGTCCTGGTCTCCTGGATCCTCTGCATTACACCATAGGAGAAGGACTTTCCTGATTGATGGAGAATAGACTTCAGAAGTTTTCCCTGAAAAAAGGAGCTGGCAACCTAGCCTCTCTGGCTTGATGCCTGCCTAGCAGAGCTTGCAGCCATTAAAGGTGTGGAGGTGGATTAAACTGTTTTCAGAGACCCTGTCACTACACAGTACTTTCCTGGGGTTTGTTCACAATAGTCCTGAATGTAGAGTGTGACCTGGGCCCTAACACAGTGGCCCACTTACTTCTCAGCTGCCAGTCATATGCCTATTACCAATAGCACTTTGCTTTTTGAAGTACTGGGCTTGGAATAACACATTTTACTCTTTTCAGCACAGCTTCTGGGCAATCAGCCTGCAGTGAAACCAGCAGGCCGAATTGCAAGCATCACGAGTGTTTCCCTAGCAGCAGTGTGATGTAATACACAGAATAATGGCTTTGCTTGCAAGGCTGAGTGTAGACAGCTTTGAGCTGACAGGGAAGAATAAAAATGTGTTTGTCCACAGTGCCCTACAGTTTACAAAATGTTTACTCATTCATGATCATATTTGAACAGTGCTAATACCCAAGCCTCCAAAATGCAGAATGCAGAAGAACAGTGCTACACACACACATTCACATTCACTCACTTGCATACTCAGGCTCACACAGACACTCATCATTCACAAGAGCACATGCACAAATTCATTCACATATAAAGGCACACAACAGTCACATATTCACTTAAAATCTCACATTAACACACACACAACTCTGCCTACAGTGCACATATACGTAAATATTCACTCATAAAAACATGCTCATAGCTACAATTATGGAAGTTCAATCATACAGATATATTACATCATTTACCTGCACACCTACCTGTGATCAGCCACCTAGAGGAGCATCAAAGTTCATTCACACACACGAATGAAAATGTTAACATGCTCACATATACACATAAACATTGTGATACATTTATTCACACAAAACATCTTCATTCATACTCACAAGTCCATTGACATACTTTAATATACAATAATATGTTGATATCCAAACATGCTTACATGAATAAAAGTTCTTATCAATTTAGCCACACGTATGAGTGTGCACATTCATACATTTATACATATAGTCACACAGACCCACATGAATGTGTTCACACATTCACTCGTAAACATGCTCACTTATAATAACACACTCACAACTCCTCCCAAAAAGGCTGAACAGGTCAGCGCACACATGAACAATATCACACATTCACTCACACAAACATGCCCACATACCCAAACACATTAGCAGATTTCCTCACACACATTATCATTTGCCTACATGCATGTACATGTGTACACACTCACTCTTGCATGTACCCAGTGATGTTCAAATTCACTCACACACACAAGCACTCAGACATTAACACATAAAGAAACTTGTCACATATTCATACACAGATAAACACACTCACATGTTCACTCACATCAAATGTGCCCACATACACAAACACAAATGTATTAAAAAAGACACGCCTTAAGGTTCTCTTTCACACACATACACACATGAACATGCTCACAGCTTTACTCATACATAATCGCACACACAAGAAAACATACATGCATGTGAACATCCTCACCTACAGTCCCATTCACTCACAATCTGAAAATGTATATGCATACACTAATAAATATATATGCAGTAAGATACATAATGCAGTGTCTTGCATTCAGTCACACATGAGCATTCTCTCACCTGAAATGCTCCCAAATTCTCATGAACATGTGGACATGTTGTACAGCACAAAAGCATGCACACATATACTCATGTCAGCCTGACAAGGGCACACACATAAGCATGCTCATGCATTCACTCACATAGACATTCTCCCTAAAAACACTAACATGTATACACTCACAGCAACACATATTTACTATACCTCTTACACACTCAAATCCAAGCACACACACATTTCCTGACACACACAAACATGCATGCATTCATTGGCTCACACACCCACTCCCAAACACTCATGAACACATTCACATGAACACACTCATACCTCCATGCTCATTCACACCCATAAAGTTCACAGTCTTCATCATTCACACATGAGCACATATACACTCACACGTGCTCACACTCTTTCATACAGGCATGCTCATGAAATTCTTCACGTAATGACACACATTCACTCACATACACAGGCTTGCATACACAATCACTCACAGTGTAACAGACATAAGCTCGCCAACACATGCATGCTCACATAGTCACTCCCTCCTGGTGAACGCTGTCACAGTCCTTCCCACTCATGCATTTCCTCCCACACAACACACTGAGGCTCATACATATGCTCACACATTCACTCACAAACATGAACACTCTCCCAAGTTTACTCATAAACACAAGCAGAACCTTGGCTCTAATTTCTGAAATCATATATTTTCAGCTCTTCATCAGAAAACATTTGTAAAAGAGTTCTTCCTTTCCTATAATCTCATTTCCCTGACACCTTTCTTTTAGCAGAGCCAGTCCTTGTTCTTAAGTGTTTGCTCTACATTTACTAGGAGATTAGTACTACCTTTATCCTACTTTACCCAGGAAGAAAGAAGTCTCAAGGAGGTTAAGTGACTTATCCAAGTCATACAGCAAACAAATGCCCAAATAAATTCAAACTTGAGAAATGTGACACCTGAGTCATGCCCTTAACCTTTATCCCAACCTTCAACTAAGAATGTTTTCCTATACTGTAGGTGCCCCTGTGCCCGTGGGAATATCTATCTATGTCTCCAACATTGAACAGATCTCTGAGATAAACATGGTAAGTGTGCCTGTTCCAGCCATGCTTCTGGGGACTGGGAACAACCAACACGAAGCAGAGTCATAGCCAGCTCTATTCTAACCTGTAACAACAGTGACATGGAAAAACAGTAAGTTTTGGAAAAAACAAGCCCCCTGGAATAAATGTAAATCTTCATATCATACCATATCCAGAAATTCAGTTCCGAATGGATTACAGACTCAAAAGTGAAAGATTTATGAAGTTTTTTTTAAAGATCACATTAAGCCATGTGCCAATGGCTGACGTCTTTAATCCTAGCGATTCAGGAGGCTGGAATTTGAGAATCACAGTTTGAACCTGGGCAGAAAAGTCCATGAGACGTTCATCTCCAATTAACCACCGAAAATCCAGAAATTGAGGTGTTGCTTAAATGGTAGACCACCAGCCTACTTTTTGAGCAGAAAAGGCCTAGGGACAGCTCCCGGGCCCTGAGTTCAAGCCCCAGTGAAAAGGAGCAGATCATGTACTCACCAAACTGGGAAGAGTCAAACATCAGCCCAGGCCAGTGTTGATTAGCTGCAGGGATCGGTGACCTTCACCTACTCTTGGCTCTTGGCAAGAATAGAAACTGGAACTTTCATTTTGTTATTTCATTCTGATTTAGGTACATATAATGCTTTCCAATTATTATATTATGGTATGTTCATATATGGAAATATACAAGAATGAACATGAAGAAATTATAGTTATACATATCTTCCTGAGTTGATTTCAACATTAAATAGAAAAACAGATTGCAAATACATACAGTGTGGTTCCATTTGGATTTAAAAAAATGAAGTTCAGCTAAGAAGTTGAACTTCGTTGACTTATATATGTAAACATAGGCTTTAACCCAAAGTGAGGAAATTATCATCATAAAAACTAGAGTCATTGTTACTGCTAGGAGACAATGGAAATAAGTTCAGAATGGCACACTTTAGGATTTGCAAGTTACTGATAGCTTTCTGTTTCTTAACCTAGATTTTAATTACAGATAGTTCATCTTATTATTCTTGTATAAAGATGCATAGGTTTCATGCACTCATTTGTAGTTATGTGTTTCATCTAGTAGCTTACAACTGACATTTACCTTCCTCTCACCAGGACTATACAATCACAATGTTTTTGCATCAGACATGGAAGGACTCACGCTTAGCCTACTACGAGACCAACCTGAACTTGACCCTGGACTATCGGATGTATGAGAAGTTGTGGGTCCCTGACTGCTACTTCCTGAATAGCAAAGATGCCTTCCTGCATGATGTCACGGTGGACAATCGCGTGTTTCAGCTGCACCCAGATGGGACAGTGCGTTATGGCATCCGGTGAGATCACCTGGGAGCCTCGAAATTCTCATCAGGCTTCCTTCTTGATTACTTCAAAACCTCTTGGTTTCTCTGTTTCACTCTAAGTGTCTCTGTCTTCCTTACATATAGGTCAGTCCTCAAAGTTCCTCGTGCCTCCTATGTTAGCAGTGTGGTCAGAAATGGTTGCTTGACTGGGATTGACTTTTTCTTTCTCTTTTTTTTTTGTTTTCCTTGGCAGACTCACTACCAAAGCAGCCTGTTCCCTGGATCTGCAGAAATATCCTCTGGACAAGCAGGCTTGCAAGCTGGAGGTGGAGAGCTGTATGTATTTCTCCTATGAACCTTTCTCCCCTGCCTGGGGCCACAAGAGTCAAGAAACCAAAGACAGAGCATATGTCCTTCCTTCTGCCCTGCCCCTGCATAGGCAGATGGTCAACATATGAATGGTAGATTCATGGAAGGGGATTGAGTGTAGGGGTCTATTTGCAGCATGTAGGAGCACGTGGCCTTTAGGTTGTAACTAATCCTATTGGGAAATGGTACCTTGCTCTTTGGGAACTATGTATAAGCTCACAGGAAGGAGCTCAGAGCAGCTTTGCTACACACTCCTTAGTGACTAAGAAACTCCCACATCAGTGAGCTCTTTCCAAGGGCCCACTGTCTCTCCCATGCTCACACTCAGCAAGCCCCCCCTCCCCAGATCACAAGGTGCAACTGTGCTTTGGTTTTTCACACACTGCTTTGGTGTGCCTGTGCCTATTTCCCAAGACTATTTCTCTCCCTCTCCCAGATGGCTACACTGTGGAAGACATCGTGTTATCCTGGGAAGACAATGACAATGCCATCCGCATGGCGGAGTCACTGCAAATCCCTCAGTTTGCTTTCCTGGGAAGGACAATTACTAGCAAGGAGGTGTATTTCTACACAGGTGAGTGTGGCTCTTTCCTTCTCTCCTAAATCTTGTCCCTTTTGGCACAACTCTGAACTCTTGGGGGAACTCTGCTTTTAGTCCCTACACTCTGCTGCCTCCTTCCCTAGTTCCCTCCTTCTGGACAGAAACAATAAAGGGCAAGTCCCGGTGGCCACCTGTGTAAATGCAGAGCAAGTATGGAAGCAATGGGCCAGAGCTACAGCACTCTGCATCTGGAGGAGAGGGTGCACGCTCCTCATAGCACTGGCCCCTCTCCCTGTTTGCGACTTGGGAGCATCTCTTGTCTCTCCCATTCCCAAACTTCAACTCACATGGAAAAAGTGAGGAGGAAGGGGGAGAGGGCAGACATAGGACATGCAAGCCTGACATCAGGATGTCTCCTTGCAGGTTCCTACATGCGCCTGGTACTGAAGTTCCAAGTCCAGAGGGAAGTCGGAAGTTACCTTGTGCAGGTCTATTGGCCCACAATCTTAACCACCATTCTCTCTTGGATATCATTTTGGATGAACTATGATTCTTCTGCAGCCAGAGTGACAATCGGTAAGTCCTATCTCGGGGAAGAACTTGAGTCATTTTTCTCAGAGAAAAAGGCGGGGAACAAGGAATGAAAATCTGGAGCCTTATGTGACTGCCCAGTTGAGGAAACAAGATGTTTTTTTTTTCTTTTTCTTTTTCCTTTTCTTCTTTTTGGTTGTCATTGGTCATGGGGCTTGAACTCAGGACCTGGGAACTGACCTGAGCTCTTTTCCTCAAGGCTACCACTGTACTACTTTGAGCCACAGTACCAATTCTAGTGTTCTGGTGCTTAATTTCAGAAAATAGTCCCACAGGGTTTTCCTGCCTGGCTGACTTTGAATGGCAGTGCTCAGATCTCAGCCTCCTGCGTAGCTACGATTACAGGTGTAAGTCTTCGGCATCAGGTGGAAACAAGGATTTTTCTAGTTTGCATTGTACAGGTGCTAAGCCAATCCCCAGTGGACAGACTGATACTGGAGATGGGGCATAAGTGGTCCATAGCATGACAATTCATTATTGATTGAATTCATAGACTTTCTTGAAGATATACAAAATGAGTAATAAATTTAGATCAGAAAGTCTATAAAATAAATATCAATTATGAGAGATATCCTAGTTAAGCCTCAGGGGTTTTCCAGAGGGAGACCAGCTTTAACCAGCATCTGGTGGAATGTGGAGGTGTAACCTCTGAGAGTCTAGAGGAGGAAGTGGCCCAGGTCTTGGTGGCTGAAACTCTTGTTCCAAAGGAATTGGAATGACTTGGAGCAGGCAGAGACAAACTTTACATTTCCCAATATAGAAATGCTTGGATTAAAGACCAATAAAAGAGACCAAATCACAAGATACCTGAGGCCGGAGAGCTTCAAAAAGACTGTCAAGAAAAGGTTTTGAGCCAGAAGCCCAAGAGATTACTTCCCCAAGGGCTTATCTTCCTCATCTTTGAGGCAGTCTCCCCTGCCTCTAAAGAGCACATTGTGGACTCTTAGTATATGTGCAATGTTGTGCAGTTCCAAAAACTTCCCCAGATGCTAATGGATGATCTGTGCACTGAGAGGCAAGCAGCAGAAAGTGGGGCTAAAGATGTAGATCATCATGAAGCCTTGGGCTAGTGATTTGGAAGTTGATCCTAAGAGCAACCGGAGGTTTAGTGAGGGGAAAGGAGGAACGAGGAGAGCATGGTGGGAGACCGCCCTACACCTCCAGTAGCTTTTGATCTCTTCCTATGCACTGTAGGCCACCAGAAGACACTAAGCCTGTGCTGTGTCATTTATAGGCCTAACTGCAATCCTCGTTCTGACTACCATCGACTCCCATCTCCGGGATAAACTTCCCCATATTTCCTGTATCAAGGCCATTGACATCTATATCCTCGTCTGCTTGTTCTTCGTGTTCCTGTCCTTGCTGGAGTACGTCTACATCAACTATCTTTTCTTCAGCGAAGGACCTCGGCGCCATCGTAGGCGACAGAGGAGACCCAGAAGAGTTGTTGCCCACTACCGCTACCAGGAAGTGGTGGTGGGAAATGTTCAGGTTTGACTTTTTTGACTGGCAATCAGTTTTCCCTGAGCACCTCTTAAGCCCAGGCTTAGTGCTTGATTCATTTGCATTTCATACTTCCTTTCATTGTCATACACGCCACACGCCTGCACAGCACACACCCACAACAGATAACCGAAGAGTAGGACTATTTTACAGCATTCCTTTTTAGAAATGACCATTGTCCAGCGTCACGAGGCAAGAAGTGACGGAGCTAAATTTCTCCAGATCTTTGGGCCAAATTTGCTCCACTTTGTATGCTTCCAGAACAGGTGATGAAGCCACAAGGAAAGCAGGCACAGGGAGGCTGAAATGAAGACAGCCACCAGAGAGGCTGGCTTGCCCTATCCTTCCTTCTTTGGCACTTCAGACTCCTAAGGCCAAGTTGAGGCTTTTGCTTTGGGCACTATGTTAATATCCAGCAACCTCCCTCTTTCACAGGGAGCCCAGCCTCGCCGGCCTGAGCAGCCTCCCGCCAGCACACACCGCTCCCAAGACAGCAACTGCCCCCAGGGAGACACTGATTTGGCTGCAGCCCTGACCTTCCCTTGCATGCTCACAACCTCTTGGTCCTGTTTCTCAGTCCCTTGAGCTCCAGTGATTTGCCCCGCCCACCCCCCCCAAGAGGAGATGGCTGTATCTGTCAAAGACATCAACAGTAGCATTTCAAGTGCCGATGAGGACAAGTCCCTTCCCATCTCCCTTTCCCCTCAGTTCATATCCACTTAGGTGACAGGGAACTGATGAGCCTATCCATTATCTCCTCAAAGGATGGCCTGATTAACGTGGAAGATGGAATCGGCTCTCTTCCCGCCAGCCCTGTGCAGGCCCGCCTGGCAAGCTCAGAAAGCCTCGGCTCTTTGGCGTCAACCTCAGAGCGGGCTCCACTGGCCACCCCGGAAAGCCTCAGCCCACTCTCTTCCCCCTTGGGCTCGGCCCAGCTGGCCACTGGAGAAAGCCTGAGCGATCTCCCCTCCACCTCTCAGCAGGCTCTTCATGCTTATGGCTCTGGCTTTGACAGCTTGCCCTCTGATGACTCTTTCCTCCCTATTGAAACCCCCAACCCTGCTGAGGCCCATGGCTGTGCTGAAACCTCTGACGATGAAGACTACGAAGACTATGAAGATTATGAAGATGACAACCTGAGCTTGGATGAGAGCCATGACCTTGACCCCAGCAGGAGCCCCATGCTGCCCCACGGCCAGAGGTGTGTGCAAGAAGCAAGCTGTGACCTTGATAAGATCCAGAGCTTACACGATGACATCAATATTGAGAGCACCTGCCCTGACCTTGAGGAGCAACGCAAGGGCAATACTGACAGTATCTGGAGCCTTAAAGATGAGGATTTCATGGCCTATGACCAAGACAAGGACAGTAGCTCAGATTCCGAGGACAGTCGCCCCCCAAGCCCTGGGTGCTCCTTCACTGAAGGGTTCTCCTTCCACCTCTTTAATCCTGATTATGTCCCTAAGATCGACAGGTGGTCCCGGATCCTCTTCCCCCTTTCCTTTGGGTTGTTCAACGTCGTTTACTGGCTGTACCATTTCTATTAGTTTCCAGCGGCCAGAGCAGCATGGGACACCATGCTCTGCTCCCTTCTTTCAGTTTTGTTCTTCTTCTTTCCTCTATTCATTTTATTTGGTGGTTATTTTGGCAATCTAATCAATTCAACACTTCTCTTTATTATCATGAGGTAGAGAGTAGTTGAAGGAACATGATCTGGCCAGAGGGGAAGGAATTGAGGAGAGTTGGAGGTAAATAGAACATTGATTTCCTTGTCTGCTAGAAGACTCTCGCCTTTTCAAACACTTCTAACAGTTAATAAGCATAGAAAAGCCCCTGGAAATGTTTACAGATAAGCCAAGTTGGGAAGCAAAAGAAGGATGTGAGACTTGCTCACACACATTTCTCTGGGCTTTTCTGTCCCCTTGAGGTATCAAATGTTCTTTTTCATTTCTCCTTTTCTTTCTTCTTTATTTTCCCTCCTGGGGGTCATGGACCTTTGTGGGAGCAAACCAAGCTAGGTTCAGCTGGGGTTGTAGGCACAGCTTGGAGGTTTAACCCACTGGCTGTAGGAAAGTTGGGGAGCATCTGTAAGTGCCTTCTGCCCACAAATTTTAGGTTGTCTTGAGGGTATAGTTGTGGGGGTGCGGTTAGGAATGGAGTGTGGGTAGGGTTCAGAAGGAGATGACAGGATAAGTAAGAAAGCACGGTTTCCCCAGTGGTGGTGGTAATGGTGGTGGTAGTGGTGTGTGTGTGTGTGTGTGTGTGTGTGTGTGTGTGTGTGTGTGTGGCAGGGGGCAGGGCTGCGGGTGATGGGTTGGAGATTTCCCAGGTTCAGCCAGCCTCTCTGGAAAGATTAGAATTTTCTCTCTTCTGTATTTCTGTCCAGTCAAGAGTTAACGTTCTGTCAATTGCTGAATTGATCCCGTCACCATGTAAGTACTTGGTGAATAAGAAGTAGTTAGAAAAGTTCAGGCTGGCTGTTTCACCATCTGACCTAGAATTGCAGATGGACCACTATTGTGTATCTATATACTAATCCTTTCTATCTGTCTAGTGCATAGTAAGTGTCAACGAGCTCACTGACATCACATCGTTGGACCTGTGAGCCAGGGAAGACAAAGCACCTTGTCCCCAGTGTTCCAAGGAAAATGTGGAGCTTTTGTGCCATACTTGACGACACTTGCTCTTCCTCCTTATCCTCTTAACTCTCAATTAAAGCATTCTCCTTCCTTCCCTCCCCTTTGCAAATGGGGTGCTCCGGCAGAGGCAGGCATCCAACCTCATTCTGCAGCACTTGGAGCACCTCTTCTGGAAGAAACTGCTTACCAGCCACTGAGCATGAACTGAGCACGTGGAGAGTGTGGCCCCGCCCACCCAGCAGGGTCCCTAAGGGAAAGCAGGGTTAGCCTGCACACCTGTTTGCAGCTGTGCCAAGCACTCAACCCATGTTCCCCTCTTCTACCTAGGCAGCCTCTCCTGCAGCCCCTTATACCTCTGCCTTTCCATGCTTTCAATGTGCTTTTGTGTGTTTTGGTGTATACGTAGGGGTGCGTGTGTGTGCATTGAGAAAGGTCTACAGTACAGTCATTTAAGAAGCTAAATACTACTCTGTCCATGTAAATCTATATTGATATGTATGGAAGCGTATCTACAATGTGTGCGTGTGTGTGTGTGCTCCCCTGTGAAACTGTGGCTTATGTGTGTATATGCTTGTGTGTCCACACATGAATGTGAATGTATTCTGTGTTCGTGTGTATAATATTTTTATATCTGCATACCTGACTTTTTCAATTTTGAATGGGTGTGAAAGGAGGTACCTCTGAAATCAGATAGGTCTTCTGCTGGTAGCTCTTCCAGGACTATCAGAATTTCCATGGTCTGTCCCCATCATGAGGGAGCAGAACTTATTTGGCTGGACTGGTCAATAGTTTCTTTCCAGTTCACTTGTTCCAGAAAGCAGAGTTCCCTGGTTCCCATTCACTCCTTGCCTCTCCCTCTGCCCATCTGTGATGTCTCCCAGAGAAAGCCACAGACGAAGTGAATGTAGCCTGAGAACAGTACTCTGTGGGAGGAAGTATCCAGTCCATAGCATGAGCTGTGAGTGCTGACCGTTTTGCCTGATTCTGGGAGGACGTGTTTTACAGTGATAGTTTTGATGGGGAAGAGATCTTGGAAGGTGTGCTTGGAATTGAACTACATTAGGCAGCAAGACACAGGAAGGCTTCACAGTGCCGAGGAAGAGCAGAGAGGTCATTTGTAAATATCCACACAACTTGATAAACCTTCAAAAGACTATTTTGCCCTTACGTGCTGCAATGAGAGCAGTTGAACTCTACTGCAACTCATACTTTGTGAGGTTGAGTGTCCAAGTGATGTGGAGATTTGGCAATGGCATCTTTTCAGGAACTTGAATTTGGCTTTGGTCTTTCTAACTGGAAATTGCCACATCTCCTCTTGTTGTGTTGTGTGTGTCGTCTGTTGCCAGCATCCTCGTTGAGCCCCAGTCTCAGCTGTCCTCAAGCTCTTCTCCATCTGGCTGCCTACAGCCCTTCCCACATGTTCCCCAACAGTAAGTGTGCAGGGCATCTGGCCAGGTTCTCTTACATTCAGCCAATCAAAGAGTGCTTGGCAGTTTGAGCCTTGGGCAGACGGAAGACCTTGCTGAGTCTGGAAATAAGCAACCCTACGTTACCCCCTTTACCTTCTTTCCCTTCCTTTCCCCCACCCCGCAACTTTAACCTTTCCCACTCCCCTCTTCCCAAAGTGTCCTTTTCTTTTGGGGATGTGCAAAAGATCTCTTACCAAATTCTTGCTCATTATGGGGTGCCTTTGCACCGGGTAACAGTCTGTTCCATCTTAATGGAGTTTGTCGAATGCATTGCTCCAATTCATGCCATCTTGTTAATAGCAAGGCTAAAAAGTCTCTGCATATTTAGAACTGAGTTTTGCTGAGATTGTGGCTATTCTAAGTGATAGTTCCTTACTTTGTATATATACCAGCTAACCCTTTGAGCTATTAACTACTGAATGCATTCGCTAAGCACTCCACCTGCATGATGCCCTATCATGGTAGTGAGCAGGAACTTTCCAGATACTCCACAACCCAGCATCAAAGAAAATTGTGACTTGTCCTACTGAAAGTGTAGTGTGTTTGTGTTTGTGTTTGTTGTTTAAAGTCCTATGATCAATGTGAAATCTATATTATCAGTATGAGGGTTTCATGGGAGGGAGGGAAAATGGGAGGGAGGGAGGGAAAAAAGGGAGGGGGGAGGGAAAGGGTTTAAAGTATTTTCGTGATATACTTAAATTATAAAAAGAAACTTTGGACAGAGTCACCCCTGGATGTCTAGTTATGTGAGACTTTGCACCCACCAAGTTTTCAGAATGCATCCTCAGGATCAGTAGTCATCAGTAATGTTTGAGGTGCTGGAATTTAGCACAACTGGCCATAGTGGCTGACATCAGGCTGTGTTGGAATTCTTCCAAAGACAACCAAGTCAGTAACGTTCTGGAAATAGATGAACTATGGTAAAATCATGCATGTGAGTCTTCAGCAGCAGTTGCACTGGACCCACACAGCAACAATCAAGAAAAAGGGGGTAATAGGAAGATTAGCTTTCTGGAAAACTAAACCTGGAGAGGGTACAGAGAAGCAGAGCCTCACAAGATGAATGGGTGTCATTTCTGTCCTTATTAAAGTACAGTCTTGCATGAAAAAGACCTTGACTAGTCCTGACATCCAGAAAGTAAAATATGAAGAAACATAAAAATATGCTTCTGAAAAATATGCTGAAATAAAGTGTTGTAAATAGCAAAAAGAAAAATAAAGTTCTATAGTAGCAAATACTCAGATGGATCGTTGTAATTCCTCTGTGTTTGACTGAGAGGTACTGCAGTGGGAATCTTGTGTTAGCCTCAAAGCCTCTGGTCTCTGTTGATCAGCCTGGTCCTCTCTCATACTCCAGGACACTTGAAACCATGGTTTTCAGGTGGAGAGGTCGCCAAATTATTGTTGAACACAAATGTTACATCCACATAGTATGTATATATAATTTTATATAGGATAATTCACACTGTTTCACAAGTCATTCTTAACCTTTTGAAGCAAAACATTCTTAAGACAGAAAAAGTCGTTATAGTACCAAAGTACAAGATGGACATTTACTTTCATTTGATGGGGTGGAAAGAGCAGAAAAGGCACTTGATAAGGAACAGATTTGTTTATAAATCTCCTTTGCCAATGTCGATGCTCAGGGTAGCAAACAAGAAAGCCCTGGGCATGGGAAGAGCACATGTTTGGGTTGAAAACATCTTCAGAGTCACATTGAAACATTCCCCAGATGGGGCAGAGGGGCCTTGTTTATGGCCCACACACACCATACGTCTCCAGCATTTTAATGAAAACCTTAGACTTGCAAGAGGAGCCCTAAGCTAGTGACTCTCCCTCCACAACTCCTTCTGGACCAAAGTAGGCTAGCAGAGCTGTGCATACACACAAGAACTACTCTGCTAGATTGCCCATAGCTCTAAGCAAAGACCTACAGGATAGAAGAGTTTGGAAGGTACCTTTACTTCCCCAAGGTTCTGAGTTTTTAGCAGCTCAATGCAACATGCTTTGTTCTGGCCCTCCCTGGTCTCCTCATTAGACTCAGCCTCCCAACTCTACCCAACTCAAGGCCTCATTCTCTGAACAGAACCCCACTGAAGAGCCCATACTCCTGGTATCTCATCATACACTGTGATTGAAAGCCCTTGCTGAGCAAGCTTTTGTGGTATGGTCAGTTCTATTTGACAGTCCCACATATTCCATTATGTTTATCAATGAGGTAGAACTCTCCCTTTCAACTCCCAATAGACTTCATGCCACTAAAAGTTTCCCTTGCCACAGAGGGCACAAGTACCTAGGGAAGGAGGAAATGGATCTGGAGTGTCCATTTTCCTACCACAACTAGAACTTGCTGTGGTCTGCTGCCTCCTCTTTCTCCTGTGTGCATTTTTGCTGACAAGCCCACTTCACAAGATGGCCCAGGATCACCCATGGAGCTTA